AATGCAGTGTATGAAATTTAAAAATTATAAATAGTGTTTTTATTTGTAGATCATGAGATGTAATCTTCCACATATTTCTTTCCAAAAGTACAAGAATTCATATTTGTGGAAAAATTCACTTGAAATTGTGATGTCTGGAATGTAATTCTTGGGTCACTTCTCCTGCTTAAAATGTTGGTCAAGCTTCCCATTTAACTTGGAATAAAGTTTAAACCATTAAAAAAAAAAAAAGTTGGCCGGGCGCGGTGGCTCACGCCTGTAATCCTAGCTCTTGGGAGGCCGAGGCGGGCAGATTGCTCAAGGTCAGGAGTTCAAAACCAGCCTGAGCAAGAGCAAGACCCCGTCTCTACTATAAATAGAAAGAAATTAATTGGCCAACTGATATATATATAAAATTAGCCGGGCATGGTGGCGCATGCCTGTAGTCCCAGCTACTCGGGAGGCTGAGGCAGAAGGATCGCTCGAGCCCAGGAGTTTGAGGTTGCTGTGAGCTAGGCTGACGCCACGGCACTCACTCTAGCCTGGACAACAAAGCGAGACTCTGTCTCAAAAAAAAAAAAAAAAAAGTTTAGAAGCAAGATAAGCACAGGCAGGTGCAACTTAGCGAATTCAGCCTAACTGATTATAAAGGTTTATGCTAGAGATATAGATTGTGACGCAGGTGCACACAGTGGAGAGCCTTGAATGCCAGGAAGGAAAAGTCACAATCACAGAGGCAGGCAATGTCTCAAAAATATTTGTTGGGCAGTGGTATGTAGATGTATTAGCATGATATGATACTTGTGGCAGTGAGGCTAGTTGATAAACTCTGTAATCCAGATGTTAAATGGTAAGAAATTTGACCAATAGCAATGATATCACAAAGAAAGGGGCTGATGTGGATTATTGCAATGCAGATTTAATTAGCTTTTGAGACTCCCGAAATGTCAGAGAATGAAAGGAAAGGAAAGCAATGAATGGCTTCAAAATTTTAAGCCAGCATAATTGGGTGAATAATGGCTATCCTCAGAGTATGCTGGTGAAAATCAGGGAAAAGGGAATTTGTAGAGATCATAAAAATCACTTTTGAGGAACGTGTTTGCTCTATTTGAGGTAACTTTTGGAATGATGAGCAAATAGTAATGTCCCAGTAGATACTTGGATATGCTGTGTTGGAATTTTGTGAAAATTTGCAGATGAGACTATAGCTTTGATCCCCAACTTTTTGGTTAGAAATAATAGCTCAAGCCACAAGACTAGAGAAATTCCCAATAGCGTATGTACAAAGAGAATATCAGTGAGCCAGAAACAGCCTGGGAACACTGAATGAGAAGGCAGGAGGAGAAACGGAAAAGAGAACCAGTATGTGTATGTGTGAGTAGGGAAGAGAGAGGGAGTCACTGAACTCCAGGGAGGTGATTTTAAGAAGGATTGGCAACAGTGCAGAGAGATCAAAAAGCTAGAATAGCTTGAGGACTTGAAAACTGGTCAATTCCATCCTTCTGTTGCACAATAAAATATTCCTGATAAAGGAAAACTGTTTACCTCTTTTCCTCAAAGTTAGACATCTTTCACCTGGGGGGAAATGAATGGAAAGATTACCTTTCTACAAGAAATTTAATCTGAGGCCGAGATCGGTGTCTCACATCTGTAATCCTAGCACTCTGGGAGGCCAAGGAGAGAGGATTGCTCCAGGAGCTGGGGATCAGCCTGAGTAAGAGCAAGACCCCATCACATCTAAATAAAGAAAAATTAGCCAGGCATCGTGGTGCACACTTGTAGTTGCAGCTACTCGGGAGGCTGAGGCAGGAGGATAGCTTGGGCCTAGGAGTTTGAGGTTGCAGTGAGCTACACTGATGCCACTGCACTCTACCCAAGGTGACAGACCAATACTCTGTCCACCCCCCCCAAAAGAAAAGAAAGAAAAAAAAAAAGAAATTTAATCTGCATAATCTGTCTTTGATATTATTTCTTAAAGTATCCACTTCTCTAATAATAAAAATTTAAAAGTCCATCATACCTGCAAACTCATTTTTTAATAATAAATTCAGCTATAGTCATCAAAATTTCATCTCCAATTCTGATCAATTGCAAAGGAATGCATTAAAGGATTTATTTCTCTCAAGTTTCTTTTGACATGACTGGAGCAAAGAAGACATTTTTTAATTAATTCCACTTTCCTGCCAAAGGACAGTATAATCTTGGTAACTTTCATATCCATCAGAGGCACAAGGCTTTTCGGACGTAGGTAGAGGTTTATGAGCACAAAATTGAGAACAATTAGCACACAAATTAATGTTACATGAGATTCAACATCTGGTAAGTGTGTCGTCATTTTGGGTCATAGACCACCTGCTAGGCTAAATGTTCATATAACAGCAATTTACTCTGCATACAAATGGGAGAAAACGATACTTGAAAAAAATTTCTAAACCTAACAGTATGTATGTAGGGGCCTCCCATATTTTAAAACTTCAACTGGAAGTTAACAATCGATCAAATATTCACAGAATGAAACATATAGGGTCAAAAGAAACAGAAAATACTTATATTTTTGCAAGTATACTTTATAATAAATTAGCTATAGTGCTAACATTAGCTTTTAGTCTATCTAATCACTGTTAGTATTAGTATTGATCTCCTCTTTGTCCACCAAATATTTAAGTACAAGAAGATGTCAACCTCGCAGAGTTTCTATGTTAACTGTGTAATAGACTCCTCAAACATCTGGCTGGTTTTGGCAACAGTGTTTCACCAGAAAACGCCAAATCTCAAGGTTACTCAGTTGCGTTTTCCCACAACCCAGTTATTGACAACTTCGGCAAAACTAGGAAACTCTTCTCTTATGAATACTTGAGCAAGACAGTATTACCTTGCAAACAGAGGGTATGTCTGTGATTATCTGCTGCAGACTTCAAAAGCAAAGAAACTTCCTGCAGTTTCGAGATTGAAAAAGCAGAAATCACATTTTTACCTTGGTTATCAAAATGAGCCATCCTTTTAAAAAGGAGGTATTTTATAATAACAAACACAAACTAAAAAAGCATCTATTAGTGCAATCTGCATATTGAAGTGGCTAAAAGGTACCCTGTTCACTTTGAGAACTCTTGAGTGTTTGCTGTACTTTTCTAGATAGAGTTTACCATCTAATTACTGGCAGTTACATGCTTCTATAATTGTCTCCCATTGATTTTTCTAGATCATCATGGGGATAATTTCAAGAAGTAAGCCTTCCTACTTAGGCATCCACCTGCCTGACTTTCAATTCTGGTCCCTCTGTTTGCTCACTGTGTGATCTTGGGCAAGTTTGTAACTTCTTGAAGCTCCAGTTTTTATTGTCTGTAAGGTGGGCCTGATGAGATGCCCTGCCTGCCGTGAGTAAAAAAAATAATCCTAATAATGAGCACAGCACAGAAGAAGTGTTAACTGATTAACATTAAGTGGTGACCTAATCCTAAATCACCAAAGAAAGACTAAAGCATGTTTAGTGTGTTTTTGTTCTGTGTTAGTGTTTAAAAGGTATTTTGTGATATTTTAATTTTTTAAATAATCAGCATACATTTTAACTCTTTTTGACAGATGTATGCTATTTACTTGACCAAACTGTGCCAAATAACTTACTGCAGTGTTTTCCAAACTATGCTTTGAAAAACTGGGGTTCTGTGGAACAGCTCAGGGTGGCTATTGTGTGTGTGGGGGGGCGTGGAATGTGGTACAGGGATGAGGGTGGGTGGTCAATGTTCCAGGATCCAAACAGAACATCTCTACTCTTATTGGCTTTAAATGTTGGGCATATCAGCAAATTTTACTTTGAACAAAGCATTCTGCACTTACAGTTCTGCTAGTGGATAAAAATACTTATGGTGTACTATCTTATTTTTTAAAGAAATATTACAGATAAATAGTAAAGCTATATTTGAACCACTCCCAGTTGAGTTCTTCTTCTACATTAAAAATTAACCTTAACTAAATCATAATTCAAAGATATTTAGGATTTCACCTTTTCCTCTTTTTGGCAGTGTTAATGAAGGAGAGCTTATTAAACCTCTCTATTCATCATCCTTCATTTCAGAAGTCTTATTACTTATAAACCAAAGCCTTATTACTCAAAATGGAAATGAGTAAAGTGAATCTTGCCTCCAAGACCGCATGGCTGACATTAATGCTTACCCCCAAAATAATCCAAAGCCAAGCAATCCCGAATCAGAGTGCAATGTCCAGGCCTATTGCGTCTGGAATCAGACTGCCTGGGTGTGAATCCTGCTTTGCCCACTTTCTGGTTGTGTTCTTGAGCAAGTATTAATAACTTCTCATCTGTGTCCCTCAACTATTCACCAGTGGGAACAATAGCACCAATCCTGTAAAGTTATTGTGAAGATTTAAAAAGACAATGCACACAAAACTCTTAGAACAGGGACAGGTAGAAAATAAGTACTCAGTAAGTACTAGTTCTTAGGATCTTTAAGAATCGAGTCTGTTTTAGAATCGTTTTCATGACACCTAAATTACTGCCAAGTCTAATTACAATAGTCAGTGCATTTATCATTTTAAATTTTTTCTACAACTATAGGAAGGATTGTAACTAAATTAGGCTTATGTGTTAATTCTCACTTGATAATTTTTCTTTCCTTTCATATAATATTCTTTCCTTACATCTCATACTATGAAAAGAAAAATCAAATTCTCTTACAAGGAATCACAGAGAAATATATCGAGCCTGCAAGCTGTCCTGAATATCTATTATTTTGATGATGGGGAAAGATGACCACATAATCTAGTCATATTTTACTGATGTGTTTTCTGAATGTTTAGATTACTGAGAAAAATATGAATAATGAAATATTAATATAATTTTTATGTATTATCTATTTGACCTTTAGTTGCACATAATTTTACTTCATACCTTTAATGCTTGCATTTATCATTTTCCTAGTATAATTCATGAAATCTAGGGAGAAAAATACCCTAAAAATAATAAAACCATAATGAAGTCCCTTAATTTTTTTTCTGTCATATTTCAGATCTTCAAGGACTCCACGTGTTGCCTCAGACAGTTGACTGGTCATCTTTTCCTCCCCAACAATATCTCTTGACCCTTGGATTCAAAAACAAGGAAGATGGGAAATTTTTAGAAAAAGTATCAAGTAGGAAGCTGCCAACATTTACAGGTAAATCATCTGGACTTACCATTATCTTGCAATATGACTATAAAGCAGGAACTGTGCATTATTCATTAAGCTCTACTCATCACAGTGCCTAATATAATTGGGCCTGGGCCCCTAAAAATGTCTATTGGGTTAAAATGAACTCCTTCCAATCTTCTTTGTGGGCTAGTCAATATCTGGAACTTTGGTTCCAGGAAAGCTACCTGCCAAGAACACGCACAATCCTGGAGTACCCACTCCCTCACCCCAACCATTTCACCTGACCACCACTATCACCTAATCATAGCGTACTTAAAGAATGCAAGCTTTATCATCATCAATTAGCAAATGTAGAAGAAAATGATGCAACAAAACTATTATATGAATTCAAAACCATAGCCAATGACAGCCTTAAATCACCTGAATTATCTGCTGTTGTGTTGATTTCTGTTCCACTCTTTTCTTGTGCAATTAGCCAAGAGTTTAGATCTTTTGAAGGGTATTACAGTTAAATTGTTTTTAGTAAGTCTAATTGAAACTTTCAAAAACCAAGAAAATATTCACATGGAGTTGAAATCTCAAACTTATGGGCTGAATTCATGATCAGATTGAATTTATTTCTTCAGCTCTAACCACATAATTAAGAATTTGTGTTTTGTCCGGCACCATATACTCTCAGGCTCATCTGAACTTTGAGCTACATTCAAAGTCAACAGGATCTGCACACTTGAATAATATCTGGGAGGAACAAGACAAGAATCAGACACATTTATGACAACATTTTTTCACAACTCAGGAAAAACATACTCTGAAGAGGCAGTTGAATTATTATAGGCTGTCTCTGAGATCTCTCAATCAAGAAACACAACAAAATGAATAAATGATAGTCTCTAAAGGGCAATGTCTCCTCTGTCTGTCTCCTCATAGATCTTTCATTATTATACATATGGTCTACAGATGGGACTAGTTTCTATACTAAAGATTTCATATCTATTAACATTGAGATACCTGTTTATAGCTTGCCAAAGAGAGCATTTTGAAATGGATGTCTGGAAAAACTAGTATAAAAGTTTATTGTTACAATTTTTAGAACATAAAGCTCCTTTCGGTCTGCTGACCAGGGAAGACACAGTGAGACACATGGAGACAATGGGGAAGCGAATCTTGCCAATATTGGATTTTATTAGAAGCACCCGATTGAATGTAGGTATCTTTTATATTTTTCCAATGTGCACATATTAGAGAATTCTAGAAGTATGGACAGTTTATGGTACAAATATTATAAGTGTTGGGGGATTTTAGAAACAGTCACAGTAAATCTCATTTGCAAATGGTTCTACTTCTTTTATACTATAAAACATATTACAATGCTACACCTTGTAATTTCAACCATTTATTAAGCTAGCGTCTCTTTAAAGAGCCTTTTCTTTATGGCTTCCTCATATCTAATTTAAATTTTCACTGAATTTCTTACTTCAAATCAATAACAAAATTTTAGCAAGCACAGTGTTTTCTCTATTTCACTTACTGAGCTATTGCATGTAACTATCTCATTACCTACACAAGAATGCAGAGCTTTTCAAGCTAATGCCTCCACGCCACACTGATGAATTGGATGCTTCTCTAAACATTGGCAATTGATCTTTGTATAGCTGTAAGGGAAAAAATTATCTAATCCCTTTCTATGATCCAGGGAAAATATATCTTTTCTACTTTTCAGTATCAAAAAGCCTAAAATAAGACCTGAATTACTGTGCTATTTTACAAAATTTAAGCCATTGTGCTGGAAGTACATAAAGAGAACTTCTTATTAACAGGCTCTAAAGGCTGCAGATTTCTCCTCTTTTAATATTTTTCAAAAGGCCTGTAAGTTGGAAATTTTAAAGAATTTTTTTCTTGCTTCTTCATTGATTTGATGTTCTTACCTTACAAGGGGAACCAAGGGTGTCATCACAAACAGCTACTTAACATCTGTTCAGCAGTTTATCTGTTCAATAACATTATTCAGCATTTTAGAAAAGCTATACAACACCTAATCTATTTGCATGATTTGTAATTCTATGCATTACAAATACAAAAGCACATTTGTACTAATTTTCCTACCATACAGCTTCCCCCTCCCCACAGTCATGTTTCTCTCAATTATCTCCCCTATATTTCTACTAATAAGAAATCCATCTCTGGCTTAGTCGGCTCAGCCTACCATAACAAAACACCCTCCTAGACACCCACATACATCATTATTGCCATCACCAGGCCCTTGTAAGCAGTGGCAACTTTCCTAATGAGGACCATGCCCTTGTAACATTATTTCATCTCGTCCAGGCAGGGCTAGCCTCCAGAGCGGTGTGCTGGGTGTTGTGGAGATGACCTGTCTGTAGCCCAGCTCTTGAGGCAATGCCTTCCTCATCTTATTGTCAGGAAGCTGACCACACCGTCTGTCACCAGTTCATATCTCACAGTGTGAAGATAGGTTGGGCCTATTTAGGCCTTATGCACTTTTTTGATATTCTTAACTCATTTGCTTCTCATCTCTGAAAGGGTATTCTGGACACTTGGAAATTTGTACGTGCATGTATCTTTATGTGTCTATAAAGGAGATTTTAAAACTGTAATTAACAAGATTCTTAGCATTTAATTAATAACTAGGCCATCTTTAGATTCAGTCTCAGTACCACTTTTCTAACTGCAAGGAATTTCATCAACTTTCCTATGTTCCCTTCTTTGGGAAATAACAATTTTTGGAAAATTATCTCAAAGAGTTATAATAAAATTGAAGGAAATAAGCCTGAAAGTTCCCAAGAACCAAAAGTATATCTAAATATAGGCTTCTAGGTATCTTATTACTTGCCCAGCCACAGCTTCATAAAGCAGGATTGCATAAAACTGGCTACAAAGGTAACCCAGCTTAATGAAGCAAGTAATGAGTTAGAGATGAGGAATTATTCCTACATGGTACCATTAACTATGACCCAAGAAGCTCTCAATAGTGTTTTTAAGATCCTTCAAGGTTTGTTTTTTCTTCAGATATCACATGCCATCCACTTGAATATTTAGAAATTGCACTGTCCTTATCATTTGTTACCTTAGTTTGTGACACCTGTGGATGAAGACTTCTGCCCAAGGCTCTGCTCCGACTGTGTCACCCAAGGACAAGTCACTAATCTCTAAACTGTTTTTTTCTCATTCATAAAATAGGCTGATAGCTGCTAGGCCCACCTCATAGAGTTGTTGTGAGACCATAAATACATAATCTATGTTGAAGCACTTTGTAAAGTATTAAGAATTTTAGCTTTAATTATTTGTGTTGGTTTTAGTTTGCTTTGACAAGAAGAATATTGTCTAGACCTTTCTTTTCCTTTATACAAACTGTATACTTTGAAATTACATATTTTTCTTCTAACATGAAGATTGTGCTATTGTCCTGTGGATTCTGAAGTCTTCCTTAGCTCACTTTCCTTACATCACTCATTTGCTCAGATCTCTTCATTCTGCTGGGATTTGAGATGTCATCTCTAGCAATGGACTGGGCTCAGGACTGCAGTCTCTGACCATGAGTTAATTAGCTTCATGTGTAGAGCAGAGCCAATATCCAATACACTTTCATTAGAAGGCAGTGATCAATGTCTTGGACAACATATTTATCTTAAAGAATTTTAGACTTTTCAATTATTCTCAATACTGGCAATTGAGACTCAATTTTACTTTTCTGCCAGGGCAAAGAGTTGTCTGTTAGAAACAACCACATCCTCATCCAGGCCTAATAGCTAAGAAACATACATTGTGTCATATATATTCAGAGATTTTTAATTCATTTTGACCATGCTTCTCAATGGAAATAGATTTGGAATATGAAAAGAGAATGCATTGAAACTTCAGCATTCATGACAGCAGGAGACCCAAAAGATAATAGTAGTGCTTGACAGAATACTATGACCAGAATCAGTTACACAATATTTAAGTGTTACCACATTTATATTAAGTCACATAAATGATGATAAATATGTAGACTTCTAAATAATGCTTAGACAATGCCAAGAATTCTTATGATCCATCCTATAAACATACTGAATATTTAATTACCTTCTACATAGTAGGTTTATAATATCTACCTAAAATCTAATTAGGAAAAAAAGTTAACCTGGCAATATAGTAAATTATAATAGCATAGGGAATTTTTTTGGTGGTTGTTCCAATTTTCAATTTCCTTCATTGAAATAAAAGTACATGTCTTTGTTCTGCACAAATTATATATGAAGAGATAGTATAGCAATTTACCTTCAACAGAAGCATTTTAAGTATAAAATAGGTTAAAAATTTTTCTATAGCTAATAAATTACTCTTGCTTTCAAATCCCCAAAATACCTTATAGTTAAGAAATTTTCTTAACTCAAACATATTAGGAAAAATATACAGAGTAGTTCTGGTTATTAACTAGATGATGATTGCATGCAGAAAGTTCCACTTAGGGATTAGGGTTTAGGAGAAGCACAAATACAGTACTCTGCAATTTAAAAAGTATTTTCCCTTACATTATCTCATTTTACCCTCACAATTTGGTGACATTGTGTCACCTTCATTTTACTAATGAGGGAACTGTGGCTCAGGGTAGTGATTTATTCAGGTTCACACAGCTGGAGGATTGGGAGCTAGAACTCAAAATCACTTCAGAATATTGTTCCAGTATTCTTTCACTAAGACATATTACATCTCTTTGAACTAAAAGTATGATCCTTGCTGGAGGCAAAACATACATAAAACAACATGGGAATGACTCCATAGCTGGATCCAATTTTTAAAAAATGAACATGTAAGTGTACAAATGAATTGGACTCAGAAAATCAACTGTGAAAAACTTCCCAGAGAACATGAATTTTTACCTCTTGCCATGAGGCAGTAGGCACAGTTGGTAAAGAATGACTTTCCTGATCTGAGAGAGGTTTCTATGTCTCAGACGATGATTCTTTTTACACTTTGGACACCAGTTTCCTTATCTTTATAGATTGCTCTACTAGGAACCCAACACATGGCAAAACAAAGATGATTCTAGCATTTTGAGAGTTATAATCTACAATATGCTACCACCTTCCTGGTGGCTGGTAATTCTACTGAACATCAACCCCCATTCAGCCAGCAGCCCTGCACTAATGGTACTTTTTCTTCTCTGGATTTTTGTCCTAATTATTTCACATGCTACTGGATGACACTATGCTTTTCCATTCATTAACTTTATTGACTGCTGTCAGTTTCAAACCTTATGTACTGTGCTTCCTGGGCTAAATGTTAAAGAGTTAAAATAATAAAATCTCTTGCCATGCATGAAGCCTCCTTCACAGGCTGACTTGCCAAAAAGTGACCTAACCATGGTTTTAATACCCCATTAATTTTACTTTTAATTTCTTCCAACTGAAGCATAAAAAATGTTTACATATACACATTTGAAATGAACAACAATATTATTATTATTTTCTACCTCTTTTTTGCAGTTAATGTTTCTATATGTTATGCCAAATGGATATACATGCTAAATGCTTGGACTTTGCTTTTCAGCGGTATTATATAGTGCCACTTATTTGCCAAACATTTACCCATAACTGCTATTAAATCTTGACAAGTCTCTGACTGAAGCCTTCATTTGAACTTGCTATTTACCTAACCTTCATTGTACCCATGTGAGGTTTTAGCTTCAATCATGGCCACTTTATTACACTCTCTCCTGCAGCTAAGGAGCCCTTTGATCGCTCCTCCAGTCCCACTGGGAGGGCTACCTCCCTTTAGATTTAGCCTTTGCTAGCATTAGATGTTTAAGCTAATTCCTTCATTTTTTAATTATTGCTTTCATTTTCTTAAAGCAACAGCATTAAAATGTTTCTGCTGGCATTAGATATTGATTTTTATTTCTTTTTCACGTTGTCTTTCTGAAACCCCTATCTTATATAGGTAAAATGTTAATCCGTAGCTTTCTGATAACCAAAACTGCATTTGGCTTGGGGAAAGGGGAGGATGGGTGACTAATAGCAGTCAACCATATTCTCTCCCTAGTATGTTATTTATATAAAGCACTTCCTGTTTTGCTATGCATCCAACAATCAAGCTAACAAAGCACTGTTGCCTTCCACTATTTTCATTTTCCTGATGTTTTGAAAAATTACACTGATAGATTATGTTCCCAAGCAAGCTGCAGTTGTTTCTGCTCTTTGGAGTTGAGTCACTGCACCACTTTCCTACAACTAGCTCCATTGTTTATTTTAAAGAAGGACAAAGAAAGCAATTTTTCTTCCGAAAGAAAACTGTTTCTCCTCCAACTTGCTTTGCTTTATTTGACAGAAGGCCATTGTTTAGCTACATGTTTAAATTGAATGGGTAGGCTAGCTTTTTCATCAATTCAGAGAAGGGACCCCAAATCCACCATTTGCAAGCATCACTCTTACAGGTTTATAGATTTTTCAGATAAATGATTAATCAGAAAGAACAAATTAGTATGAATAAAAAGACATTAGTTGAACAGCATAGATGTTAAGGAGGCTTAAAGAAAATACAATGCAGGAGTACCTAACCTTTATTTATTTCCAAGATTCTAGAAAAATGCCAGCTGTTAGAGGTTGCTGTCAACCAAAATATGAGTATGACATTTCAGAAAGAACTGCTTTCTAATATCAAGTTGAAGTTCAGATCCTCTTTAATAATATTCTTTCTAACAGTTTTTCTCTTTAGAGACTTTCTTTTAAGAAAGAGAAATCATGTGTCCGCCTTCTCTCATTTCTGTAAGAAATTCTGTTTCATAAATATGCACAACTAAAACAGTCCTTACTCAGATCCTAAGCTTTAAGGTAGTGGTTTGTTTTCAAACAGAAACTTGAATATTTGGGGAGGGACTTGGTTGAAATTCATATTTCTAGGGCCACATATCAAGAGATTGTGATTCACTGAGTGATGCTCAGGACTCAGTTTACTATTAATAACTGCCCAGTTAACAAAAAAGCCTAGTGATTCTGGTGCCCAGCGGTCCAGCAGGAGCCCTGCCATAAAGGGGGTGTTTGGTCACCCAGCCTTCCCCTTCTGAGCACGAGGATGTAGAGTGCAATTGTCAAACTAAGTCCTCCTGTGACTTCTCCTTTCTTTTCACACTCTAAACACCACAGAAACCCAAGGCTTTTATTTTAACCCTTTTATGCACCTTAAGCCAGAAGTACTTTTTCCTAAAGATAAACATGGAAATATTATGATATACTTTGTCTTTCCTATCACGCATTACAATTTGTATTTAAAAAAATGAGAAAGTAATCTCTCTTCTTTTGTGGATGGTGGGAGCAAACACACCAAGGGGCCACAATGATTCTAAGTGTGCCCATGTTAAGAATGCCCACCAATAGATTCATGGATTGGTGGTCCTTACAAATGTGCACAGTAGTCTGTTTCAAGATGGATCCTGTCCACTGTTGGGATGGTCCTACCAGACAGAGTAAAGCCTACAAGGAGATGAGCTAGTGTGCAACGCCATCCGGGGAACACTGAGGATAAAAGCAGAGCTGGAGGTTTAACGTCAGCCTTTGGGGTAAAGAGAATTCAACTTATACAACATTTTTCAGGATTCAACTTTCATAAAAATTTTTCTTTCATATAAACAAGATAGTAGGCAATTCTTAGCTCTTGTGTTGTTTCAGTGGCATAGATAAAGTCACCCTCTCTAGGCAGGCTCAGCCCTGTGAGATTGCCACAGGGAGAGTGGAGTGCAGGTTCAATTTCAGTCCCTTCCTTTCCCCTCAGCCTAGATCCCTGATACAGGACAACCAGCATACCCCTCTCAACAGTTCTGCAAAGAGCTCCCTTCTAGGTATAGTCACCTACTTGAAAAAGATGATATGAGACAATTCTCTACAATGATAGAAGGAAACATTTACTTGTACTAGATACCATAGCTTCAAAAGATGTAACTATATTATAACAAGCCCTGACTTCCATCCCCAGGGAGAGGTCTACTTCTGTGGTTTTGTTCTAAAACATTGCTTTTTACTGTGAGACTAGGGGAGTTTCCGTGCATGCTCAGGTGTGATGGAGAAGTTGCAATACGCCAGCCTCCTCAGCCAGCTACAGAGAGTAAAGGAGCAGTCCCAGGTGATTAATCAAGCAATGGCAGAGCTAGCAACCATTCCCTATCTACAGGACATCAGTCAACAAGAGGCAGAATTGGTAAGTATTTGTTTTTCTTTGTTTAAGGCTTTCACAGTCCCTGAGCCAAAGTGATATAGTCTGGGAAAAAATTCTGATAATAAAGGTAGTCTGAGGGCAAACTCCCCAACCCTCATGCAGCATTCTCATGATGAAAACAGAAAATGTAGGAAGGTGTGTGTGTCTTGTTTTTATTTGCTCACACTGACTAGCTCACATTTTTATGGCAAGAACTTTGTGATGTGTGAAAACATAGAAAAGGGCTGATTATTCATATGGTGTGTCAGACATTTTGTTTTGAGTAAAATGAGATTTTAATAAGTTAATTCTTAAATTCCAAGATATGTTAATGTATGATACTCATCTGTGGAAATGTGAGAGGACAAAACAGTAATTTTCTGTAGAAAAATTACCCTACAAAATAGTCTTTAGAGTTTTCTTAATCACTTTGAGTGTTATATATATTATTGGCAATGTCAACACACACACTAGTTGTTTATCTGAAGGGGAAATGTAGTGAGCCAAAATAGCTGTTTTCTAACTGGATTAACCAGTTAGGTCAGAAAACCAGTCATTTTATCCCTACATAGCCCCAGTCAAAAACTAGTTGAAGGACTGTCTCACAGAAACAATCCTCAAACAAATGTGTATGTTATAACCATAATTAATATTAGAAATGGCAGGACCTCATCTGAAAAGCAATTACTAAATAGTGTGCTTCCCATTCAAGGAAAGGTAAAATTTACTCTAGATGGTGATCCTAACGTGTTGTAGGGAAGGGCTCTTTACTTTGAAGCTTTAATTGAGAGTAGCTAAAACTAATTACAGACCTGAATGGAATTCACACAGTAAGGATGAGAACAGCCCAAACTGATTACCTGTAATTTTCAGATAACTAAAGGAAACCTCCCTCTTTGAGCTTTTAAAGATGTAATCAAGAAATGAGCTGCCAACATTTATAATGTTCATCTAAACCTGTTAAAAGTGTTAAATAAATACTGATGTTCAGAGTAAGTATGTGAGATTGTCTGACTAACCAAATAATAAAAGTATGCATACTAAAAATGAAAACTATGAAATGTCTATTAATCAAGGAATTACCAAGTCAAAACTGGCAATAATACTGTATAAACCTTTATGGTTGTGTGGAGAAGAACGCCTTCTAAAAGGCTAAGTGTTTATCCTGCCATTCATAAGGCATTCAGGAGTGCAGTAAGTATGGAGCTTTCAAAGTGCATATTATAGCCAATTTTAGATGATTAATGCTCCTCTGAGATAAGAGGAAGCAAAGAAAATGTTAATTTAAGAAGCCGGCAAAATGTTGATCCTGTCTTCCTGAAAAGCACATTCAAGATTTAAATGAAAAATACAGGGGAGTTCTCTGCACTTAAGTCTTCTTAACCACACATCTGTTTTGTTTTGTTTTTTTCCTGGAAATAGTTATTTTTCAAAATATACACAAAGAACACCAAACTAGCATTATTGACATCCCTGTATAACATAATTTTCACTATCTGAAACCTTGGATAATGGAATTTCATGGGATATTTCATATTTATATGCCCACCAGAAAAAAATTAAACATATATTTATGTATATGTGCATGCCAAAATTTAAAAATTATGTATCTTGCAAGATTTTGTCACCTTAAGAAATAGATTTTACTTTCCAACTTCCAAGTATGAGTTAACCTAGAAAAATGAATCCTCGTAACACCTTGTGTGGTGCTATTTAAATAGTGACTGCTCAGTAGAAGATTGTTGAGTGACTCAACTCTCTGTCCTTCTACTTAAGCTCTGTAATATCTAAACCACAGAAAGATTATCCAAGGGTCCATACTTTAATGTCACAGGGAACTGAACTGATATTTGTTCTTCTTTTAGAGAACTTTTTAAAAAACCTTTGAATATCACATGCTTTGATGCAGCTTTACTTTGCAGTCACATATGCACAGTGTATATGGTATTGTTTTAAATTGGAATATGGCAGGTCCCTATTTCGGGCAAAGGGTAGACTGTTTAAAACTTGCCTTTGCATGGGACCTAAAAAAGAAACACTTGGTTATTTCAAAAATTTTCAACAAAGAAAAGAATAGTAAAAGAAGTTAAATGAGCTAGATTCTTTAAGAGGAAATAAAACAGCACAAATATAGTATTGTCCTCTGGTGAGCTTTTGCATGATGCCTAGAATTATGATACATTAGCCTCAGGAGGAAATACTAAAACGCATTCATGTACTACATGCCATTTCCTGAGAGAATTAACTGCCGCCTTCATTCTTTACAACCCAAATCTGTTTTTAACAAAACATCAACACTTACTGCATTAAAATCTATATATTTCCTACAAATTTTCAAGAAGGATCTTTTCATTGTTTCAATATTTTATGTGTGCAATAATACTCGGCAATGACAGGCAGAGATGAGGTGGCAATGTTCACTGTAGGAAAGATGAGTAATAAAATCATCAGCGTACAAATGATTTTTTAATTAGGTTTTAATCTGTGTATTTAGAGAAGTTATTTCTGTGTGAATTCCACACTGATAATTTTTATCTTGGTGCCACAGCTGCAGTCACTAATGGCAGATGCTATGGACACCCTTGAAGGAAGAAGAAACGATAAAGAACGTGTGTGGAATACAATCCAAAAGGTAAAACTTGGAGCTGAAGGGAAAAGGCCTGTTATTCTCAAAGAAATTTCCATCTTGGGTCAAATCTATTTAGAAGAGAAAAACAAATGAAAGTTCTTTGGGTTGTTTTTCGTTTGTTTTCTTTTTTAAATAAATGCAGCGCTCTTGCTTTCTCGCTCTCTCTCTCTCTCGCCCCCCTCCCTCCCTGGAAGTATGACTAAAATCAAATATGGATTTATTTAATCTGTTCCCTCAGGTCTTCTACTCCTTTTCCAACTGAATGTAGTATGTTTTCATGATTCTTCATCATTATCATGCTCATTTTCATGTTCTATTTTCATTATCTGCTTTTTCATTATTGGTTATTATTAATATAATTTTTAAAGCTCTTTTATCAGTGTTTTAGTCCACTCCCTGACTACTTCCCCCATTTTTGTCACTTAAGGAATAATGGCTACATGTCAGGGAACTACAAAGAAACTTGCGCATTGATATTTTTGGTGGAGGAGTAACATACTGGTTGTTAGAAATAGAGTAACATTCCTTAGTTGGCTACTGGAGTTTAAATGCCTAAGTACTGAGATGTACCTGGTACTCAGGAGACTGGTGTGACACTATATAGGACCATCTGAAAATGAAGACAGTAATGTTGAGTCTCTAGTCCAGCTCAATGTAGTAAATTCTGATCAATCTACTCCCCATTCAGTCTCCTCCACAAAAGGAGACTGGTATCAGGAGATATGAATGAGACAAGCACGCCAATGAACCTTCAGGTTATAAGGTAACAGTGAGCCCTAAACTGGTGCATCTGAGGAAACATGTGTCTTCTGTAATTAACTCAGAGGCCCTATGATGTACATTTGACCCTTGAAAAATGCAGGAGTCAGGGGTGCAGAGGAAAATCCACATGTAACTTTTGACTCCCCAAAAACCTTCCTAATAGCCTACTGTTGACCAAAAGCCTGACCAATAACATGAACAGTCAACACATATTTTGCATGTTATATGTATTATATAATATAGTCTTATAATAAATTAAGCTAAGAAAGGAAAATATTATTAAGAAAATCATAAGGAAGAGAAAATATATTTACTATTAAGTGGAAGTGGATCATCATAAAGGTCCTCATTCTCATTGTCTTCATGTTGAGTAGGCTCAGGAAAAGGAGGAAGAGTAGGCATCAGTCTTGTTGTCTCAAGGGTGGCAGAGGCAGAAGAAAATCCACCTATCAATGGATCCATGCAGTTCAAATATTGCTCAAGGGTCAGTTGTATATAGATAAAACAGAAATCAATGGACATCAGCAAATAGTTGTTGAATATGTATATCCTGTGCTAGAAAGAATGCTAGGTATTAGGAATATATGGTCTTTATGGTCTAGAGTCCAGGGTCCTCAAACTTTTTAAACAGGGGGCCAGTTCACTGTCCCTCAGACCATTGGAGGGCCGTTGGAGAGTGCAGTGCACATTCCACACATGCGCACTGTGGGCCCGGGATGAGTCGGCTGCTAAGCAGGACAGGCAGTGGCAGCAAAAACACCAGGTGGGCCAGATAAATGTCCTCGTCGGCGGGCCGCATGTGGCCCACGGGCCGTAGTTTGAGGACACCTGGTCTAGACAGTAACTTATAAGCTTACTTAATACTACAGAGAAAAGGACATGTTCCATGATCTATGTGGAAATAAATAGGAGAATAGCCTGGTCAGGAAGGTTGGAAAAGCCATCCCTAAGAAAATGATTTTTATAGAACATTAAATGTGTCATAGTTATCCAGGTGAAAAGGGATATTTCTAAACAGAAGAAACAGTTTGCACCAAGAATGCAAAGAAAGAATGGCACATTCAAAAACTAGCAAAAGAGTAAAGAAGATATTTCCAAATGAAGTGCAGAGACAGAAGTCAAATTACAGGACACTTATAAATTAGGGATTTGTAATGTTTCAGAGTGCATTTAACTGGAAAATGTTTTTGAGACATCTTTAGGTGTGTGGTGGGAAGAACAGATTGAGGGGCTACAGAAATATGGGGAGGTCAGTTATATGGTGGTGATCTTCATCTAGGGGAGACATGGTGATGGATTGGTCTAGGGTGGTGGGCATAGAGGAAAAAAACAGATAGATAGAAGAAATATTCAGGAAGCCAAATCTATAAGCCTTATTTACTGATGGGTTATAGGAGTTGAGAGAATGAAGCTAGGAATGATGACCAGATATTTGCTTGAGAAATTGGACAAGGGATAGGGAAAGGTTTTCTGGTGCCATTTACTAAGGAAGGAGACACTATCACAGCAGCAGCTTTTGGCTGAGAATATAAACTCCTTTAGAGGTCAGTTGGGAGAAACTATGCCAGATATTTGAATGGGAGTTTAATATAAATAATGGTTAGTCAACCATATGAAGTTGTTAACTAGGTAACTGAAAAAAGCAAAGGAGAACAATAAGTTATCATGGAAGAAGCAATTACTACCTCGTGTGGCTGGTGAATCAAAGAGAAGTTGGAATGGCTAATACCCAGAAACTTGGATCAGGGACTCTACTAAGCCAAAATTCAGACTCCCCACTAGAAGATGCGGTGCAGCCAGTATTAGTGTCTCTGAGCTTGGGCGAGGAGTCCTGAAGGGCTGAGACCCAGACCACTGAGGAGGGGCCACTAACCCTCTGGTGCTGTGGGAAGTGATGGGGAGGGCTGTGGTAATAAAGGTAATCTGTAACTTTTGGAAAAACAGATTCAGCTGCTACTACAGAAAAGACTGTATGTTTCTTGATTGAAGGTTTGTTGAACGGATGTTCCCAGGAACTCCCAAACAGACAGAAGTAAACAGGAAGCAGGGAGGAAGGAGAAAGTCCCTTCTTTCTTCTCTAGTATCCCCTATTGACAGAAGCTAACAGTTGGCAAAGCAGAAATGGGTTTTGCACAGGTCCAGCCATGGCATCACAGAGCTGACTGTAAAAGGATGGGTTTGGAAATGAAAGACTGTAGGTTAATAACTGACACAAGAGTGCATTGAACATACTGTGCTGGCAAGATATCCCAGCTGAAATACAGGAGCCTGGAGTTCTGGATAAAAGACTGAATGAAGGTAGAGATTTCTTAATGGCAAATTGGTGTTAGCTGAAATCATTTGAATGGGTGACAAGGCTGAGAACGAGTTTATAAAGAGAGAAGGGAGCCTTGAGGAGTACATTTCAAACTGAGGAGGAGAAGCCTACAATGGAGACTAAAAAGGTGAGATTGGAGCTAGAGGTCAGCCAAAGCTCATGCTGATCAGATTCAAGCAATATAAGCAATTGCCGCTGTTAGCTATAGTGATAACTGTTTAGAACAGGGGTCAGCAAACTGTGGTCTGCAGGTCAAATACAGCATACCACCTATTTTTGTCAATAAAGTTTATTTCACACAGCCATGCCATTCCTTTACATATTGTCTAAGTCAATTTGCCTGAGTTGAATAGTTGCGCAAAGACTAGATTAACTCACAAAGCCTAAAATATTTACCAACCGGCCCTATACAGAACAAGTTTTCTGTACTCTGGTTTAAAGCATTATCCCTCCCCCAAATTTTGCATTTGTACAGTAAATATTTATATTTCTAAATCCAAAAGATAATAAATAGAAAAACAGTTTAATTATATTTTAGGGACCAGCTAAAAAGGTGGAAGAGAGATTGACATCTGTCTATATCTTGTAGACAACCACTAACTCCATCTCATTCTAAGCTAGTGTTTTTGATGCCCACATTCATAGGAGCACTTTTCCTGTGGCTTCTTACTCTGTCTCTATCACACTTACCTATTTCTGTGTTACCAACCACCCCAAATGTAGCAGTTTAAAACAACAATTCAATATTATCTCACAGTTCTATGGGTCGACCAGACTCCATTAGGCAGAGAATAAAATGATAGCGTCCATCCTGGAAACAGGTTCGGTAGCAGGACTGTGGCTCTGTGTCTCAGGCTGGAAAACATACCTTCAAGCAAGCAGAGGATAGTAAAGTCAAGGCCTCCGAGACTGTAACACAGCAGGCCCCTCCACCACTGGGTGTCTAGAAAGACTCACTGGTGAGCAGCCAATCTTTCCAAATTAAAAGTCCTGGTAATGATCATAGCTTTCTAAATGGAAGCTCCTGAGAGGTCTTTAGGAAGATGTGAATGAGAAGGAACAGGGTGCCAAATTTTTCCCAAGGGCTTTTAATTTGGTTAATGTGATTCTAGAAAAGATGATCGTATCACTTTCAGACAATTCCGGTAGCAAGTAAGTAATTTCCTTTTACTGCTACAGAGTTAATTTGTGTGCGCAGAAAAAAATAATTAAAAAAAAAAAACCCTAATTGTACAAGCTACACTGTGTTCTGAGCCCACTAGAAGTTGATATCAGCATCACCACCTCTGAGATCTGTTATCTGTAATAGAAACAGCTGTTGTACCTAATGAAAACACTTGAAATTTTCATCTGAAGCAGCGGAATTATAGCAGAACCTCCTAGTTCCACATAGTTAAGGGGTCTGTCAGAATCCCCATTACCTAACACAATTTTCAGGGCTCTACTTTGTTATAGGTCTATAAAAAGCCTATCAAGATGAAATCTGATTCATGACAGCTGACCTCCTGTCTACATTTTTGTTTTCTTTGAAGTTTCTGTAGGAACCCAGAAAGAGAGAGAATGAAACAAATGTGTTTTTTCTGATTCAACAGAACTAAAATATGTTCTATATAGAGTTTTAGGAAAGTGGTTGTTTTGTTTTGGCTTTGCAGAATATTTCCTTTCCGGAAATTAACTCAAGAAAGATACGTGCTGGTTGGTTTAGCTATGCAGATACAAAAATAAGCAGATTATGTAAAAAAAAAAAAAAAAAGTGAATTTTCTGTGTTGGAAAGTCCCATGCCACAGCATATTTAATTAAGAATATCACACTTTATTTAGCTTTATCCTATGATAACACCTGAAGAAACACACCTTTTTGAACATCCCACAGGTCCTGTTGACACACTGCTCATTCACATGTTCATCATTTACTAGGCACCTACGTGGTTTCAGACACTGTTTTAGACACTGGAGATACAGCTATGAGAAAGTAGTGTCCTCATAACATTTGCACTCTAGTAAGGCAGGCAATACGCTACCTAAAGAAATATAGAATATGTTATAAAGTAATAAATGCTATGCAGGGAGGAAGCACAATAGGAAAATGGAAAGTGCCAGATGAGGGAGCAAATCATGCTCTGGTGAAAATGCATCATGAATCTGGTGAAAATCATTCCAAGTAAAGGAAACAGCACTTGCTAAACCCTGAGATTGGAGTGTGCCCAGCATGAACACGGAGCAGAAAGAAGGACAGGGTGACTGGAGTAGAATGAACAAGTCTAGTAAGAGATTAAGTAAGGGAGGACATAATAATGCTTTGCAAAGAAACGCTCTATGCTGCTAAATTGAGAGCAGATTGAAGGGGACAGGGGTAGAAGTAGGGAGACTAGTTAGTTACGCAGAAGAGTAATAATGGTGGCTTGAACCTTGAACCCAGGTGGTGTGAGTGGAGGAGAGAAGTGGTCAGATTTTCCAAATGCTTACTTACAAGGAGGATAGTATAGTAAAAACAAAAACATACCAAAAAAAAAATCCTGAAATAGCAAGTTGGAGATGTAATCTGTTACAAATTATGTCAGAAGCTATTTCTTTTCCCTGGGCCTCAGTTTTCTCCTCTGTAAAATAAGGATATTGGACTAGAAGATTCTAAGTTCCCTTCTGGCTCTAAATGAATGGGTCTTTTGAAAGCCAGACCATCAAAACGAAAGAGTAAGAGTATGCTGAGTCCTTGATATGTGCCAACACTCTCCTGTTTACTTTTTACATACCAACTCACTAATTCTCACATGAGATGAAAAGTATAATTTATTAAACAGAGACATTTATCATTTTGCCTAAAGTCATAAAGCCAGCAAGGGAAGAGCCAGGACTTGATCTGATCCTAAGCCTAAACTCTTTCTTGCTAGAACCCCAAGCTCCCTGAAGAAACTTGAGTTATCAGCATTGTTCTTGCATAGCTGAGCATTCAGGTATGAGGACTAGTGGGGAAATAAGGTGGCCTCCAACCAAAGTGGAGTTTGCCATAAACTACCCCAGTTTGTCTTCAATTCTTAAAATAAAATTCTTTCAATCTAAACCAAAGAAGTTGCTAAGGAATTTTTGGTTTAGTCTGCCTTTCTAACCCATTTGTATAGAGTCCTCCTCTGTTCCTTGTTTTCCATCTATAACCAGAATCAATGCAGAGCCTAAATCTGAAAATCCTTGACCATTAATTCAACTCCCATTCATGGGACCTTGGGCACGGCCTTCTGAGAAACACAATGTGGTCATACCCCTACCACTTTCAGATCCTGTGATTTCCTATTACCATTCAATCCTAAGGTCCATTGAAGCTTTATCAGCTACCCCTGAAAATAAATAGAAAAAAGTATCTTGAAAAAAATGTACCAGCTGATAAGTCGCAATATTGCTATTTCTTCTCACCAGAGAATCAAACAGGTGAACAATACTCTGTGCAGCTCAGAAGAAAAAGTTATTTGCTCTTCCTTTACAAAGCATAAATCTGACACTGAAAAGATCAGAATTTAACCTAATATACAGTATTGTCCTGATTTAAAGATAAGCCTCTGGATCACTGACTTGAGACTAAATGAGGAAAATAAAACTTTGTTATTTTAAAAGTAATGAGAAATGTCCTAGCGTATAAGTATGAATCTGTGAGTTTTCAGGAGGGGAAATGCTACTTTAAAGTTCCATCTAGTATTATAACATAGCACATCATAAGCTTCAATGAATCCAACTAATGGAATATAAGTGGATATTTTTAAAGCATCCATATGAATTTATTCAAAATAATTTAGCTTTTTATGTTACTTTTTACCTCAAAATCTTAACTTATAAATCATACTTAGTGTCATTATACAGAAATGGCATTTATTGATGCACTAATTTGGTCTTTTAAGATGAAAATGTGGTAGAATTATGTTACTTAGCAACTTGTTCTGTTCAAGACTGTTGATATGGGCTAAACAAACAAGAGAGAATACGGATTTGGGAGCTGGGCAGGGGCAGTTGGTTGAGGAGGGAAAGTGAAGAACAAATTGGAACATTTTATTTACTTTTCACATCAGCATTTAAACCTGAATCCTTCCAGAATCTCTTCTGAGAGAGATTGCACATGCGGCACTATCATTCATCGGCCAGACATTTGAGCTAATATGTGGTTAGGTTAGTCCTTCTGAGAGCACTGCTATCTTTTCAAAGATTCAGCAGCCATACCTCTCATTTGCAGAGCAGATTTTTCAGCAATCAAGCTTTTCCTGTGTGTCTTGTTCTTTACGGAGTCTCCATAGATTTATTGCAATTTGAGTGTGAATCTTCTACCTTTTGGTTATGGGCTTCCTCATTAGCATATCCCCAAATTCCTTTACAGTGTGTGCACCAAGCACTGCTAAGCAGTTCTGTTCAAGACATAATTCCAATCATGCATGGAAACCTAAATGTTCTTACTGCTGACCATGCTGGAGAGGGGAGGAAAGTCTCTGAGGACAAGCAGGGAGGGGGCCAAGACCCAAGCAGCTGGAGGAGGCCAGGTTCCTGAGGTGGATCACTGTGGTTCTGGGATAAATGAATCCATATCAATGGGCATCCAGACAGGCAGTTGTTGTAGAGAAGCCTTAACCAAAGTCCTAGAAGAACCCCATGATTGTGTCCAGAGGATGATCCCTGGGGCAATCAGACCTTGGAAGGGAAGACCTCATCCTCAAAGCCCAGGGCTGGCTTGGGGAGTGGAGAAAGCTAAAAACCTTGGTCTGGCCATCTTCCCCTCCACAGTGCAATACTCCCAATCCAGATGGTGAATATCAATTATCACTTAAACCAACATCTTCCTTCTCCAGCTTGAAGGAAAAAGTATGGGGATAATTTGTTTAGCATTTTCAGCAGCTGCATTTGCTAATCACCCACTTTTCACCTGCATTTGGCCTTGCCTCCCAAACTGGAAACATCTCTTTTATATACTTTGTTGGCTGAAAATACTGTCTTCTAAAACTTTGACGATTTGGCAGGAAATTCTGCTGCAGAAGTATTTCTGTGTAAGGGTCAAATTCTAGCATGGCCCTCATCAAGGGAGCATGTATCCAGAAGCTTGGTCATTTTTAAACAGGAGTTTATCAGGGGGCAGACAACACTAATCTGCCATCATTCACATATATATATACCTAATATACTGCGCTATCCAACAAATTACCAAACTATTTGAGCCTGTCTGAAGCTTGCTTTTGAATAACTATCAAAATTGGAGCAAGGTATAGAAAAATTTATTTCAGATAAATAAGTTAATAATGATGATGACAAATATCAGTGATTATTATTGATCTCTTAGCACTTTAGCATGTCATCACATTTAATGATTGCAACAACCTTATGAGAGAAACATCATTACCTCTCCTTTGAAAGATGGAGAAAAATAACGATGTAGAATTAACAAGAAAACAAGCCCAAGTTTGCAATGACAGGGTTAGGTTTGAATCAGATGTGTTTAGGTCAAAGGCTCTGTTCTTAATCGTTAGCTAGAACACTCCTGTTGAACCAAATGAAGCATCTAAAAGTCAATGGCACATTGCCTGACCCAAGTTCAGATTCTGTAAGACAGCCAACAAGACAACCTTCGAGTCTGCTTTTTGGCAGGAAGTAGGATGGACGCATCAGAGGCCGCTGTAGGCAACCTTTGTCCATCTCTAGGTCACAGCCTGCTGCCCATCTGGAGCCTTGCCCACACTGCTTCCTCACACTGCTGCCTGACCAAATCTGAACCTTGGCACCCACTTCTCTTCCCTGAATCGTGCTGCTCTTACTCCCTTGCCATCCTTCCCTTTGTAGACATATCATGTGTAGGTTTGCTCTGACACTTCACCCTTTTCCCTCTTCCTGTAACTTCAGAACTTGAAGAAAACAGCTTAAAAACCTAGTCATTTCTGTAGTGAACTTACCATTGCTCTGAAGGTCATGTTCTGTTGAATTATCCAAATCAGCATTCTGAGATGCACCAGGCTTTCAATGAAAACACAGTGTTACAAACACATATTGCCATAACCCTTACAAGTTTTACCATCATAACACAGCGAGCCTTGAGGCTAGGGCTGGACCAGCACAAAGTTTACCTCCTTCACTTCCTGGTCTTTCTCCCTGGCTGACCCACTTATGAGCTAATAGGGGGAAGTAACTAAAACAAAAATTGGAAATGTTCATATTACTCCAGACCTATTAGCATTTTTATCTTTGTAAAGGCTTTTCAACATGCATCTGTTTAAAGTTCAGTGTAATATTCTGGGAAGGAAGAGAGGAGTGTATTTCTCAATTGTATTTTGAACTGAAGAGTTAAGTTTGCAGTTCATTCTACAAGTTGCTTCCTTTAAATTACCAAAAGTGTCTTCTTTGCTTGGCAGACCAGCATTTTATTGCATGTCTTTTATACATTAAGTTTTGCAATCTTTTATAATTCTGGAGAATAACAGAATAACAGCTTCTACCACTTGGTAGCTAAATGAACCATAGGACATCTCCATTCTGTATTGAAAGTGGGATTAATACTGAGTTCAGAGCAATTGACTTGTAGCTCATTCAGTCATTTATAGTATACTCATTATACCTTTCATCTTTTGGAGAAGGGCAAAAATAAAAGTGCCTTTACATGCAGCTTTAAAAGGAAGGTGTGGGTCATTTATCCTTCCGATTGTGAATCTTTAAATGGGTACATGTGAAGGAGGCAAGGCTGTATCTAATGCACACAAATTTCATAAGAAAAAATATACTCATCTCTCTCAGAATGAACAAAACTGTATAAAACTAAGGTGTACTCTACTAAAATGGCTTTTTGCTGGAAAGAGACTCTGGAGAGGAACGTGAGCTGGCTGGTGAAAAGATGACTACTGGACATACATCGGAGAGATCCTAACCTAGAGACAGCACACAGTTAGGCCCATCTCTTTTAAAAAGGAATTTGAGAGGCTTTTAACTTCCCCAAACCTCTTACAAAGAGAAGGCCCTTCAGCTTTAAAGTGAGTGATTCACTTTATCATATTGATAAAGATATTTAGAAGCAACTGAGCAAATCGATTCAAGAAATGAAAGCACATCTTGAGGTAAAGGGATAGAAAAAATCACTTTTAGAAACCTATGATAGAGTACTTCCCCTTCTGATGATATGGAGTAGATGTGCTTTTCTCCATTCATCCCATTATATAGAACTAAAAACCCTGGACATTAGATGTATAAGAAAACAAGCATAACAATCTATAAGGTAGAATGAAAAAGACAGACAAGCAAGGGACATGGGGACCCAAGGAATGACACAGTAATGAGTTCACTGGAATTTTTTTTTCCGTCATACATCCCACACTTGGAGCTGAAGAAACAGATAACCCAGAAACACCAGCAAGTGCAGACTAAAAAAAAAAAAAAAAAAACCCAACCAAAGCCCTTTCTCTTTAGCCAAAGGACAAAGAAAAGGGCAGCCTGTCAAAACACAAAACTCTCAGACAATAATTTCTCTACTCCAGCCAAACACCGCAAAACAAATATTGGTCCTACCCACAGCCATGTCAGCACAGGCCAAGTAGGAGATTTGACTTCGATCCTCACCAGGCTACAAGGTGTCCCTGTTTTCCCACCCTAATGGGGGTGTCAGAGAAGACAAAGTAAGGAGACTGGACTTTTATCCCCAGCAAGCAGTAAGTCTGCCTTTTCCTCTTCCACTCTTGCTGGTAAGGTGTCAGAGGAGGACTAATAGAGAGTCAGGATTTTTACCACCTAGCAATGGGGATGAGTCTTTTTCCACAATGTGGTGTCAGTGAAGGCCACATGGAGATCAGTGATGAGGTACTTTTCTACCCCTGCAAGCTAGTGAGGTATCAGTGGAAATTTAGTGAGGAGCTTAAACTCCTACTCACACCCAGAAAACACGAGGCGCCCCACTCTCCGGTGTCACAGAGGCTGAGTTAGGAACCTGAATGTCTATCCCCACCAGGAAGTACCAAAGCAGTGCCCCTCCCTTCCCCTGCTATAGCAGTGTCAAAAAACAAAAAAAATCCCCCTAAACCAAGAGGTTTATGCAAAGTTTTACAACAGTTTTTTAAGTCTATGTTAAACATAAAAAGTATTATCACCATGAACATTTTCCATCAAGAGTTAGTAATACAGTTCATTTGGCATTTTTTTTCATGTTTTATAAAATCTCAAGGGTAAGTACTCCAGATTTTCATGTTGTACTCTTATAACTAAACTACTGAATAATATACCATAAGAGTTAGAGTCTCATAACAGAATGCCCAAAGCGTACCAATTTCAATAAAAATCACTTGTCATACCAAGAACTAGGAAGATCTCAAACTGAATGAAAAGAGACAATCAATAGATGCCAACATGGAGGTGTCAGACCTATTATAATTATCTGACAAATAGTTTAAGGCAGCCATCATAAAAATGTTTTAATGAGCAATTATAGACACATTTAAATGAAAAAATAGTTTCCATAAATAAATAGAAAATGTCAGCAAAGAAATAGAAGATATAAAGAAGAACCAAATAGATATTTTAGAACTGAAAAATAAATAACTGAAACTGAAGAAACCATTGTATGGGCTCAATAGCAAAATAGAGAAAACAAAGGAAAGAATCAGTAAAAGGAAAATAGGATGATAAAAATTACCCAATCTTAACAACAAAGAGAAAATAAACTGGTGGAAAAATGAACAGAACCTCTGGGACCTGCACTGTGAGACTAGATGACACGGATCTAGTATAAGTGTCATCAAAGTTTCAGAAGAAGAGTAAAAGTGCACAGGACTGAAAAAGTATGCAAAAAAGAAATAATGGCTGAAAACCTTCCAAATTTGGCCAAAAGACATGAAATTAAGAATTCAAGAAGTTGAGTTGAATGCCAAACAGAATAAACCAAAAGAAATTCACACCAGGATACATCATAGTCAAACTTCTCACAACTAAGGACAAAAAATCTTGAAAGCAGTGAAAAAGAAATGATGCACTACCTATGAGGAAAAAAACAATCCAGATGACAGTTGCTTTCTCATAAGAAAATATGGAGGCCAAAAGTAAATGATACAATATTTCTCAAGCACTGAAAAAAAAAAAAGAATTATCAACCCACAGTGTTATTACAGCCAATGAAAATATCTTTTAGGAATGAAGAAATCAAGGCATTCTCAGAGGAAGGAAAACCAGGAGAATTCATCACCAGCAGACCTACCCTAAGAGAATGGCTAAAGAAAGTTCTCTAAATAGAAAGCAAACAACAAAAGAAAGACCTAGAAACATCAAAAAGAATGAAAGAACACAGTAAGCAAAAATATGAATAAATACAATAGATTGTCCTTCTCCTCTTCATTATGTTTGATGAGGGAAGTAAAAATAATAACACTGTATGATGTTCTAAATGTATATAAAGAAAATATTTAAGATAATTATATTATAAATAGGAGAGACAGTAAAGAAAATAATGATTCTACACTTTAATCAAATTTAAAATGAAAATAATAAACTATGATAAATTATACATATTTTAAAAGAATATATGTATGTGTGTCTATATGTGTGTGCATATATATATATATATATAAAGTACCTAGAGAAACTACTAAAAAAGCTATACAAAAGTGGGCTAGAGGTAGTGGTTCACACCTGTAATCTCAGCACTTTGGGAGGCTGTGGTGGGAGGATCACTTGAAGCCAGGAGTTTGAGATGAGTGTGGGCAACATAGCGAAACCCCATCACTACAAAAAAATTAAAAATTAGTCAGTCATGGTGGCACACACCTGTAGTCCTAGCTACTTGGGAGGCTGAGCCAGGAGGATCACTTGAGTCCCGGAGTTAGAGGGTGCAGTGAGCTGTGATCATGCCAGTGTACTCCTGCCTGGGCAACAGAGTGAGACCCTAGGTGTTTTGTATATTTCTTGGGATCTCTATGTAGACATTTATGTCACCTGCAAATAGGGACAGTTTTATTCTTCCTTTGTGTTGTACATGCCTTTTATTGCCTTTTCTTACCTTACTGCAGTGGCTAGAATTTCCAGCACTATGTTGAGTAAGAGTAGTGGGAGCTGATATCCTTGTCTTATTCCTCATTTTAAGAGGGAAATAATTTGTTCTTTCACTATTAAATATAATGTTAGCTGGAGAATTTTTGTAGATGCTCTTTCACAATTTGAGGAAATTCTCCTGTATTACTAGTTTTATGAAAGTTTTTTTTTTCCTTTTTTTTATTACTTTATATTATGGGGTACAGATATTGTTAGGGTTACATATCTTGCCCCTGCCCCACCACCCTGCTATGCCAGAGCTTCTAGCGTGTCCAGCCTCCAGGTGGTGTGCACGGCGCCCACCGTGTAAGTACATACCCTTCCCCTCTCCCCCCTTCCACCTGCCCACTTCCCGATTACAGATTTTCTTTTTCAGAATTTTGGTTACAATGTGTATCTTTACCTCTCCCTAAAATGGGATAGAGGTAATCCCTCCCCCCCACACACAATGCTCGCCACTTCCTTAAGATGTGGGTCTCTCCCACCCAAATCCCTGTTGAACACTACCGTTTTTTGAGCACCATAGTTTTAGTCAGTCACTATCAATTTGATGGCGAGTAGATGTGTAACCCATTTTCCAGATCTTTTGTAGTCTTGCTTTGTATTACGGGCATAAGCTTAAACCAGGATAGCATAAACGGTGCTAGCTCACTGTCGTTTCTTAGGATTGAGTAATATTCCATTGTGAGCATATACCACATTTTAGTTATCCACTCATGAATTGACGGGCACTTGGGTAGTTTAAAGAGACATCGAGATAGGACTCATTTTATAAGCGGCGCCGAGTAGTCAACTAATGTTTTGTATTTCTGTGGAGTCTGTTGTGATCTCTCCTTTTTCATTTCCTATTGAGTTTATTAGAGTCCTTTCCCTTTGAGTTCTTGTCAGCATAGTGAGCGGGCCATCAATTTTGTTAATCTTTTCGAAAAACCAGCTTCTCTTTTTGTTGATCTTCCATATAATTCTCTTGTTTTCCATTTCATTTGGTTGAGCTTTGATCTTAAATTAGTGTTGAATTTTGTCAAATGCTTTTTATTCATCAGTTGATATGACCATGTAATTTTTGAATTATCAATTTTGATTGCTTAACTATA